CCCCCTCCCCCACATCCGTTTACTTCTCTGACCTCCTGTAACCCTATCAACCTGGCTGCTCCCTCCACTCACCAACCTCTTTATCTCCTCTACCTGTTTTCACCCCCTTCATCAGAGGACAAGCTTTCAGCCATTTTATTGTCACTCCATCCTGAGGTTCTTCCGTCTCATCACCTTTCTCCCAGCCTTTAAGACCTATGTTTTTAACCATATTCTCTCCCTCAGATACACACAACTCTCAGCTCGGCTGCCCAGTCAGATATGCAGATATGAGTTGTCCTGCAGATGCGAAAGGTGCTACATAAATGTAAACTGGTGATTTTGTTTTCAGTCTCCGCTACATTTCTGTCAGGGCAGAGATCAGAACGTTAATACATCTATTGTCACAGTTCCCATTGCCAGTCTCCCATTACCGCAATTTCCCATTGTTACAGACACCCATTATTATAATAATCCTTGCATTTGATATAGAAATGGAGTCCTGTAGCTCAGTGGTTAGAGCACTCGCTTTGCAAGCGAGAGACCTGAGTTCAATTCCAGGCAGAGGGCGAAACCTTGGGCAAGTTTCCTTACTCCACACAGAGCCTAATAATAATCCCTCCAAAACAAAGCAATAATAAATTGGTCATTTTCAATCTACGACTGTTTGTGGGACACTGCTGTGCGCAATTGGCTGCTGCGTTCGCCCACAAATATACAGTCAATTCACTTTACAGTGTGTTCTGTGAAGCGCTTTGGGACGTCCTCCCGACGACAAAAGAGCTATATCAAATGCAAAGGATTATTATTATTATTATTATAGGACCTTATCATGTCGTTGAGACATCTCCAAGCTCTTCACAGGATATACTGTACAGTGGGTTGACTGTATTTTCTGGGCGAAGGTTACAGTCTCCCATTATGACAGCTTCCCATTGACTTAATCTCCTATTTCCCAGTCTTCCATTGTCACGGATTCCCAGTCCCATTCCCCATTGTCACAGGTCCCCATTTCACAATCTCTCTGACACACTTTCCCATCAACAAACAAAGGGAGATATAGAGGTGAAGAAGACTGAGTGGTTCACATGACCACAGTGATATCCGTAGGTACACTATTGTTCTCCGTTGTTTTAATTGGGGTAACTACTGACGTAAGCATGAAATCAATCACCAACGAAAAGAAATCCCCTGCACCACATATATGAACAACAACTTGCATTTATAAAACGCTCTTCATGTGGGGTAGTGTCTCTGAGCACTTAACAGTAGCAGAACCTGATATGAACAGAGAAATTCGATATTTGATATAATTACAATCAGCCCTATAGGTAGGACATTAAATTGGTCTGCCTGCCTATTCTGGTGGTACAGATAGATCTGAACATTCCACGGTACGATTTTGAAGATGACCTTTACAAAATGTTCTGTGAAGCACTTTGAGACGTCTCAACGACGTGATAAGGCGCTATATTAAATGCAAGGATTATTATTATTAGTGAAGCCCAAAAGGACTCGCATGCCTTCTGGACTTGGGGGAGAGAGCAAGAGACAATCCACACACATTAGCATCGTTCACACCCAATGCAGTTTCAGGAGCCCCAAGCTGCAACACAGTCAATAATCTCATTACCCTGCACAGCATTGTCTAATATCTTGACATTAAACAAAGCCGCACAGAGAGTCTCTTGAGGTCAAAAGTAGTCAAAGCATGTAATGTCAAAAGTTTATTTTTATCCATTGAGGCCTTTTATAATTGCCAGTGATTCATTTCACATTTCAAGAAATCTTATCAATTATTGCTATTAGATTATTTATATTATTATTATTTGGGACAATACCAGAACAGTCCTGGTCTGTTTTCATCTCACTTACTAGCCCTGGATATACACGCCAATGGGGAGACTGAGAGAGAGAGAGAGATCCACAGCCAGCAGGTCAGTAAAGGGATTACGGGGTGAAGAATTCCGATGTTAATTAGCATATGGAAAATCTGTTAAGAATCATCACAATTTCCAGTCAGTAAGTCAATAACCAATAACTGTGGGTGTGAACACTTCTGTTCTGTTAGCGATCCGCTAATCGACTAAAATTATGCTGAAAATGGGAAGGTGGGGAGTTGAATAAAGAAGGGTTTCACAAATCATTTTGCATTTAGTTATCGACTCGACATTATGATACTTCTTGCTTTCATATCAAAAAATGAGGTGTGGATTTCCTCCCAGTTAAGACTCACTCTATTGTCTTAACAATTTGGAGGCTGAGGAATCTGGCAAATAGTCAAACTCAGTCTTGGCTTTGATGCCGGTTTTTCTGCAAGTCCAAAAAAACAAGAAACTTACAGAGAAACAGACTTCAAAATTAAAGGCTAAATTCAGCAATGTGCTAGATTTTGCAGGTTCAGAAATGCTTGGAGTAAACCTAGACCTGGGTGGAAAGTCCACCTCACCTGTTTAAAAAAATCACAATTTCTCCTCTCTCTCTCTCTTCCTCCTCCCCTTTCCCCCACATTTTCAATCTCTTCACAAACTGGTTTCCACACATGTCGGGATGCTGTGTCCTCCAAGCATCTTTTTTATTGAAAGAACGGGATGATTTTCATAATACAACCTAACCTCTCTGTGGTACTCCAAAACAGAGGAAGCTGCATCAACCTTTAGCTATTTTCACAGCAGCACTGTTAAAAAAAAACAAGGTACAAGAAACAAAATTAAATGCAATGCATGTCTTTTTTTTAAAACAATTAAAACTTGACTACCTAATTTTCTCTGTCGGATTTGGTTAGAAATCCATCCATTATGGTTTCATCAAGGGCCCTTTCCTCCCACTTGCGACTGGCACCTGAGGTAATGGCAAAGTGCGTGTATGTGAGGATGGGGTAAGTGGTGTGCGTATGTACATGTGCAATGTGTGTGGGTGGGGGTGCGGGGGGACGAGAGGAGGGGGGCGTTGGATAGAAGGATAAATACCAGTAACTCCAAGAGACACACTGGACCGCAATATTTCAACAAGCTTCCTTTGCACTTTGTGACCGTGGAAAGTACTCTCTCCGGGCTGTACCGCGGAAAACTACGCTGGAATACGATTAAGCTAGTCAGTAACAAGCTCGGAAGGGCCATTTCTCAGAGCTCGAGAAAAGGAGAGAACTCAGAGAGAGAGAACCCAGAGAAAAAGCGTGAGTGCCTTAAAAAGCCTTGGGACATTTGACAATTTTTAAAAAAATATAGCCTTCTTGAAGGCAAATGAAGATTTCACAATATTTGGATGTGCCATCTTTCTTCCACACACCTGTCTTCAAATATTTGAGAATATATATTCTCTGACCATATAGCTTGCATTTATATACCACCTTCTTGTGGGCCGGCGTCTCGAAGTACTTAAAAGAGGGACTGTAAGGACTCTTTCAGCAAACCGGCACCGGTATGAGGAGCAGAATGAGGAGCCTCTTTCAGTGCTGCAGTACACTGGGGTGATGGCTGTTTAAGTGTGTGGGGGGGAGGGGGAACATCCCTGTGTGCAAAATGTTCGTCTACAAAATGCAGTCGTAACGTTTCAGTGGAATCCTCTGAAGCGCTCAGACGTCATCCTGAGGTGTAAGGTGTGATACCAAACGCAAGAACCATTTATTGTTATTATTGTAGTTTTTTTTTAACCTCCTTTCCTTAGACAAGAAACGTCTTTAGGAATGCCACAGATTATTCAGAACTCTGCAGCTCCTGTCCTTTCCTGCATTAAGCTTCATGAACCGATCACCCCCCATCTTCATGAACCAATCACCCCCATCCTTGCCCGGCTCCACTGGCTCCCCACCCACCAATCGAGTTTAAAATCCTTTTCTTCACTTTTAAAGCTTGCCATGGTTGTGCTCCTACCTTCCTCTGTGACCTATTAATATCATACCAACCTGCCATGTCCCACGCCTTGCCTGCCCACTGTTGGCAGTCAGACCTTCAGTCTTTCTGCCCCCACCCTCTTAAACTTCATCCCAGAGCTCCTCTGCCTTGCCCCTTTCAAGGCTCACCTCAGGACTTTCCTCTTTGACTGTGCCTTTGATCATCCTCCCACCCCCACCCACCTTGCCCTCCATCCCTCTCGAGTCCAACCCTCAGCTCGGATCCTGGACTGCCCAGTCCTTTGGGATGTCCTCCTGATGTGAAGGGAGCTGGATAAATAACAACAAATTGCATTTATATACTTCCTTTCATGTCGAGAGGATGCCCCAATTTGTTGTTGTTGAAATGCAATTTGTTGTTTCATCCACAAAACACAGTCAATCCGCTTTACACTATATTCTGTGAAGTGCTTTGAGAAGCCTCAATGACGTGATAAGGCGCTGTATCAAACGCAAACAATTATTATTGTTGACGCAACCGCAATTTGTTACTGCTGCCGTTAACGCAACGTGTTGCTGTAGTAAATACAATTCGTTGTTGCTCCAACCTCCTAACCCCCACGGCAGCCCGTCTGCTCCCTCCGCGCGCGGCAGACACTGACCGTCCTCACCATCGGCGTCGGGCATTCAGCATCTCTGCCCCCACACTCTGGGACTCCGCTCCGCAATCCCTCCACCTCACCCCCTCTCTCGCCTCCTCCAGGTCCTGTCTAAAGACCTTCCTCTTCGATGGTGCCTTCGGCCTCCCGCCCGCCCCCAGCCCTCCACCCCTCCCGAACCCAACTCGGGTCCCCCCCCAAAAAAAAAAAAAAACACCCCGTTGTCCAGCGCCCCGGGACACACGTGAAGCGCCCGACGCGGGTACAACGTCTCGTTGTTGGCGTTCTGAACGCAAAAGCGTCGGCTTCGCTGCCGTTTGGGTCTTCCGTCGCCCGGAGAATCCTCGACGCTGGCGGTTCCTTACGTCGGGGTTGGGGGGGGGGTTTTTCGCCGCAAACAGTCGTGGTCGGGGGGGGGGGGACCGAAGCGACCGGATGATGATGATGATGATGATGGTGGTGATGATGATGATCTAAATGCAAGTGGTTGTTGTTGTTGTTGTCAGCCCCTCTCCCGCCCCCCCCCCCCGTTAGATGGCGCCCTCCGACCACCCGTTCCCTTCCTCCTCGTCGACCCGCGCCTCGGCCTCGGCCTCCCGCCGCCTGGTGGCCACCAAGTGGCCCACGAAGGCCTCGCCCAGGGCGCTCCGCAGGCAGCCATCCCGCTGCAGGGCTTCCAGGGCCTGCCGGGTGGTGAGGGGGGCCCGCGGGGCCTCGGGGTCCCCCTGGGCGTCGGGGCTGAGCCCCCGCTTCAGGCCGTCCAGCCCGGCGGCCACGGTGGCGGCCAGGACCAGGTAGGGGTCGGCGGCGGCCGAGGGCAGGCGGTTGTCCACGCGGGGGCCGCAGGCGCCGTGGAAGCGCCGGCGGAAGGAGCCGCACGCGGCCGCCGAGCCCCTCCCGCCGCCGCCGCTCGGGCCGCCGCTCCCGCCGCAGCGACCCCTGCAGTCGGCTCCGGGCGCCGCCGCCGCCGCCGCCGCGGTCAGGCAGCGCAGGGCCGCCGCGTGCTCCACCAGTCCCGCCAGCCACTTCCGGCCCGTGTCGGACAGCACCTCCGGGCTCTGAGGGTCCCCGGGCCACTTCCGGCCCGCGTCCGACCAGAAGAGGTTCCGCCGGCCGCCGGCGTCCCACAGGGCGTGCGACAGCGACCCCGCGTTCCTATGGTAACCGCAGGAGGAGGAGAAGATGGCGGCGTAATGGCGCTTCCCCGCCACCTCCTTGACGCCCGACCTGAAGGTGAAGGCGCTGTCGGCCGCCGCGAGGCCGAACTGAGGGCGGAGGGAGATCTCGACGTGGTCTGGGCCCCGGCGGGAGGAGGTGGAGGAGTTATCGGAGGAGGAGGAGGAGGAGGAGAAACTCTCCACGTCCACCCCGGCCTGCAACATGGCGGCCATCAGCTCCTGCAGCCACGACTGCGAGGGCCGGGCGTCGCCCTCCGCGCCGCGCAGGGAGAACTCGTAAGTAAAAGCCGACCTCAGCGCGAAGCCATAATCCCGCAGTTGCCTCAGCTGCACCTTTGCCACCTGCCGAGGAGCCGCGGCCACGGCGCTGCCCGACACCCAGCACTGGTCACACAGCACCCGAGCCGTCCTCTCAAGCCACGGTAACGGCCTGAAGGTGGACAGGTCAGGGATCAGCAAGATGTCAGCACCGTCGTCGTGATACTGACGATGATGATGGTGGTGGTGGTGGTGGTGGTGGGGGTCCGCCTCCTCGTCCTCGACGCTGGTCGTCATCTCCAGGTAACTCCGGGGGATGGCGACACCGTGTAACGCCTTCTCCTGCCAACAGAACAGCAATCACAGTCACATCAAACCATCATCATCGTCGTCGTCGTTATCATCATCATCGTTATCATCATCATCCTCGTCGTCGTTATCGTCATCATCATCATTCCTTGCGTTGGATCACTTCAAAGCGCTTCCCAGCGTACGCTGTCAAGTGGATTGACCGGTGTTTTGTGGGTGAAACGAGGCTAACCGTTCCAGCGGCGTATTAATTAGTGGGCTCGCCGCGCGAGTTTTAGGACCCGGGTTCGGTCCTCTTCCACGTCCCCCGCCTCACCCACTCCGCCATTGGTGGGCGGGCCTTCCGCCACTCTGACCCCCCCCCCCCACCACCCTCTGGAACTCCATCCCCCGCACTCCCTCCGTCTCGCCCCCCCCCCTCCCTCGCCACCTTCAAGACCCATCTCAATCAGGACCCTCCTCGTCGACCGTGCTTTCGATCTCTCTGCTTCTCCCCCCTCCCACACCCCGACCCCCAGCTCGGCTCCGTAACTCTTGTCCGTCCCGCGCCTCGGGACGTCCTCCCGACGTGAAAGGCGCTATACAAATGTAATTTTGTTGTTGTTGTTGTTTTGTTTTGGGCCCCTCTGCCAGAGATGAAAGAATCTTTCAACAATCTAAAATTAGGGTTTTCATCACCAATTAAATTTGGAGCAGAAAAATTGACCGCCATAACTGAGGAATCTCCTCTTGGCACCTCGTTTACACCTTAAGCCTCTGGTAGTCATCCTTGATCACAAGATCGGTTCAGATGAAGAAGGCCCTTTGGGCCATCTGATCTCATCCTTCCAGAATACCCATTCTATAGTCCTCTCATCACTGCATCAAGCTTATTTTTAAATAATTCCTGGCCTCAGCCACCCATTCTGACAACCTATTCCAGTTATCAATTACCATTGTGTTATGAAGCTGACTAGGCTCCAACCATTCTCTCTTTCTCCACCACATTTTTTTTTGGCTTTCTCTACCAGACTCAATTTTATATGGCTATTTAAATATCGTGCCCTTTTCCCACAACTCCACATTCACCGTCCTACACACTCTTCCTGGAGAATCACTTGCCTCCCTCACTCTTAATGAGAGTCTGCCTGCTTGTCAGCCTTCCCATTTCCTCCCTCCACAAGCTGCAGATAATCCAGAAGTCTACAGCCCGTATCCTCTCCCGCACCAAACTCCGTGACCCAATCTCCCCCATTCTCACCCGACTCCATTGGCTCCCTATCCTTCAGAGGATCCAGTTCAAGATCCTGGTCCTCACATACAAAGCCCTCCATGGCCTCGCTCCACCCTACCTCTGCGACCTCCTAACCCTCTACCAACCCGCCCGTTCCCTCTGCTCAGCCGGCTGTGGCCTGCTCCACGTCCCCTGAACCACCCGTCCCACCAATAGCAGGAGAGCCTTCAGCCACTCTGCCCCACAACCTCTGGAATTCCATCCCCCAGTCACTCCGCCTCACCCCCTCCTTAGCCTCCTTCAAGTCCCGCCTCAAAACCCTCCTCTTCAACCATGCCACCCTACTTCCCCTCCCCTCCCTTCTCCCTCCCTGACCCCAGCTCGGGTCTGAAATGCTGTACTCTGTCCAGCGCCTTGGGACATCCTCCTGATATGAAAGGCGCTATACAAATGTAATGTTGTTGTTAATTTCTTTCTGTAATCTATAAAGTTCTGATGTCCAAAATTAAACTTGCTCTTAACCTGAAGACCATTATCTTAAAAATTATACTAACTTATATCGGGAGACTAGAAGCTCCCTTCTCGTTTTTTGAATAGTGACAAAAAGTGCATGTCTCACACAGAACATTGGAAATTTCCTAAATTCAATGTCATTTCTGAGCCAGTTCTTCTGTATTTCATTTTTTTTTAAATCCTACTTACAATAAGTTTCCGAATGGAAACTGAAATGAACAATTTTCCAAAATTCTGCACAAACTTTACATTTTAAGAAAACTATCTTAAGACCAAGGTGGAATTTTGGACACTCACAGTGCGTGTTAGGGGCAAGCAACCTGACGTACCTGGAAAAAGCGAGCTGGGATGGTCTTTGACCTCGATATGCCATGGAGATCTGTTGCTTCGAAACGAATAAACTGTATTTCTTCTCTTGCAATTTGCTGCTTCACATATTCAATATTCGCGTTCGATTGTGGTAAGGAAGGGATTGCATAGTTGCTCATGGTTAAATCTCGTAGATTATCTTAATAAGAAAAATCAAAGAACTGTATTAATGGAAATCCACTTTCCTGATCCTTTAATAAAAAAATTCTTGGTTATTAGTTCCTTGTTTTTTTTTAATCATGTCTTACCCCACACAGACACAGGCACTTCACGTTAGAAGACTGAAAACTTACCAAAAATAGAGGGGAACCAAGAAGCTAATGTTAGTGAGCAACTTAGGAAAATTAACATCAGTAAAGAATTAGTTCAGGGCAAACTGTTGGGATTGAAAAATGACAAATCCCCTGGACCTGATGGCCTGCATCCTCGGGTTTTAAAAGAAGTGGCTGCTGAGATAGTGGATGCCTTGTTTTTCATCTTCCAAAATTCTCTGGATTCTGGAACGGTTCCCATTGATTGGAAGATCGCAAACGTCACACCACTATTTAAGAAGGGTGGGAGAGAAAAGATGGGGAACTGTAGACCAGTCAGTCTGACATCGGTGGTAGAGAAAATTCTAGAACCCTTAATTAGGGAACGTCATAGTGGGGCAGTTAGAAGACCATAACATGATTAGGCAGAGTCAACATGGCTTTACAAAAGGGAAGTCATGCTTAACAAATCTTTCAGAGTTCTTTGAGGATGTAACTAGCAGGTTAGATAAGGGAGAACGAGTAGATGTAGTGTATTTAGATTTTCTGAAGGCATTCGACAAGGTGCCACATAAAAGGCTGCTACACAATATTAGGGCCCATGGAATTAAAGGCAATATATTAGCATGGATCGACAAGTGGCTAAGAAAACAGAGTAAGGATAAACGGGTCCTTCTCAGATTGGCAAGTTGTGACTAGTGGATTGCCACAAGGATCAGTGCTTGGGCCTCAACTATTTACAATCCATATCAATGATCTTGACGAGGATATAGAACTTCAAATATATAAATTTGCGGATGATCCTAAGCTAGGTGAGCGAGTAAGTTCTGAGGATAACACAAAAAGATTGCAAAGGGATATAGATAGGCTAGGTGAGTGGGCAAGAAGGTGACAGGTGGAATATAATGTGGGGAAGTGTGAAGTTATTCACCCAGGCAATAAAAACAGAAAAGCAGATTATTTTCTAGAGGGGGAGAGACTAGATAGTGTTACTGTTCAGAGGGATTTGGGTGTCCTTGTACACTAGTCACAGAAAGTTAATATGCAGTACAGCAAGCAACTAGGAAGGCCAATTTGGTATTTATTGCAGAAGTGTTAGAATACAAGAGTAGGGAAGTCTTGCTGCAACTGTATAGGGCCTTGGTGAGACCGCACCTAGCGTATTGTGTGCAGTTTTGGTCTCCTTATTTAAAAAAGGGCATACTCGCCTTAGAGGGGGTGCAGCGTAGATTCACTAGGTTAGTTCCTGGGATGAGGGACTTGACCTATGAGGATAAGTTGAGTAAACTAGGCCTGTATTCTCTAGAATATAGAAGAATTAGGTGTGATCTTATAGAAATGTATAAGATTCTTATGTGGCTTGACAGAATAAACAGTGTGAGACTGTTCCCCTGTGGAGAATCTGTAACCAGGGGTCACACTCTTAAAATTAAGGGTTAGCCTTTTTGAGCAGAGTTGAGGAAATATTTCTTCACTCAGAAGGTGAATTTATGAAATTCTCTATCCCAGAAGGCTGTAGATGCTCAGTCCTTTGAGACGTCTCGAAGACATGATAAGGTACTTTATCAGATGCAAGGATTATTATTATTTACCATCAGCAGCCAAAATAAAATAATTTACAAAGAGTGTAGTTGAAACATGGAGTTCTCTTAAACCTCTAATACCCAAGTATCCTCTCTCTCTCTCTCCCTCTCTCTCTTTTAAACATTCCTATTCATTCCGCTTCTACAGCTTTCTGGGGCAGTGTTCCTTCCACATTTTTCCACATGTGTGAAGTTGTGCTTCCTGACAGTTCTAATTCCCTTGCGATTATAACATTGCATCTCCTTTTCAATACATCCCTCTACCAGGGGAAGAGGCCTCTATTTAACTTTAAATAGTTTCATTATTTTAAATATAAAGTTCCAATTGGATACATGTAGGGGAAAGGAATATATACACGAGGGAGAAGGGAACAGAGGGTTATAGGTGAGGAGAATAGGAAGGGTGGAGAATAAAAACACTGGCACAGGCTTGTTGGACTTAACGGTATGTTTCCCTGCTCTATCACTCCATATAATACCATGTAATTGAATGGAATCCATCGTCGTTTGGTGATGCAGGAAGGGTGTTGAGGCCAGGATACTGCGACTCATCTAAAAAGCAGCTTATGCTGTAATAGGGGAAGGTGGGGGAGGGCAAACTGGAGGGTAGGTGTTCTGAAGGGATGAGATCAGGTGGGTCAAGAGCCTTCTTGGCGTAAGGGAAATGACGAGGACTTGGGTCGAGTACTAACCGGCTAAGTTTGAACTCCAGGAGGGTGCGTGGTTTCCCGCTAGCCCGGCATCACCAGGGCTGTGGAACGTCGATGCCTTTAAGCCCAATGGTTTGGCTTTGATAATTTCTGGTTTCTCCACATTCAGGGCAGCTAACGCACGTCTTGGCTGCTGATCCCAGAGAGACCCCACTCTCTGCTGTCGGGTGGTTGAACACAGGGAGTCCTCGGGACGTGCTGTCGGGGGAGCGGGGTGTCTGTCGGCCCCCTCTGTGGGCTTCCCCTCTGCTTTTTGAACATGTGGAGCGCTGGGCTTGCTGCTCTCCCTCTGTCTGCTGGTGATCAGCGGGCTCTGCTTCAGAAGGGTTTTTAACTCTTCCAAAGTCTCTTTGGAAATCGCAGCCCCCGAAACAACTATATCCTGTTTCTTCCCTTGGTTATTGTCTTCTCCAGTGTCTTGTCTCAGGCCTTTTTCTGACACTACGTTTCCCACAAATTTCTCTTCTTTCCATGGATTCTCTTCTTCCTGCTGGTTCCTTTTCCCATCTTCTCCCTGCACATCTCTCACTGCGTGGTGGATTGATTTGTGAGGCTGTGGCCACATGACTATTGAATGGTATGGTCTGTGAAGGTTAGAATGACGAACAGAGCTTGACTGGTAGTTTTTGTTGACTCTTTCCCATTCCAGAGGTGCCATGTATTTCCCACTAACTTTGATCCCCCTTTTTCTTCTGAAGCCGGATATCCCACTGCCATCCATTTCATCCTTCCCATCACGCTCTTCCTATCAATAAAGCATTGCAGCACGTTATTAATTATTAAAGGGAATCCATTAACACAAACCAAAGAAAGAAATCGCATTTTGCTACAGTGCCCCTAATCAGCCAAACATCTTAAACAGCTTTGCAACAATCATTATCAAGTGCAGAGTCTGATATCGTGGGCAAATGCAACAGGCATTTTATTTTTGGTCAGCCAGGTGTTTGACACATGCGGAAACCCATCACTGTGCTTAAGAACATCCAAACCAAATGTGAGGAGTTCCACATATGTATGTCACCAACTCAAAAAAACTTCCCTGTGTCTGGAATGGAATGCGTACTCTCTCCCATGAAGGAGGCACCCTGCTGACTATAATTCCGACAAGTATTAGGCGCAGGTTGGCGAGAGGTGGTTGAGATCCATGCAATGCCATCCCACAAGGTATAACAAGGTGCAATAACAAGGTGTGATAGCTGGTGTCACCACACATGCACACAACCAATTGGATTGTTCGCTGGGTGACTTCTAGCATTTTTTACCCACAACTAAAAGAAAAATTGCTGACTTCCAGGTCGTCAGGTTGTGGTTTTGATCACTTCCTACTTTATACATGAGCAACAAGGCCGGAAGTGACATCAACAGTGATCTACTGACCCAGAAGTCAGCCTTTTTAGCAATGAAAGCTGGTCGTCATGTGGGAAGTGAGCACTGAATAAGGCCCACAACACAATAATAATAATAATAATAATAGTCCTTGCATTTGATATAGCGCTTTTCACGTCTTTTAGACGTCTCAAAGCGCTTCACAGAATATACTGTAAAGTAATTGACTGTATATTTGTGGACGAAGCACGGGAGCCAATTGCGCACAGCAGTGTCCCACAAACAGTCGTGGATTGAAGTGACCCATTTATTATTTTTCGCTTTTGGAGGGATTATTATCAGGCGTGTGGAGTAAGGAAACTTGCCCAAGGTTTCACCCTTATTAAGTGAATCTGCGTTATAAAAAGCATTTAATAACAGAGCTATGTAAATAGAATAAAACTAGAGCAAGGTGGAATTTGTCCAAAACGTCTGCATCTGACCGCTCCAATAGTGCCACCTGCTGGCGTTCCAATGGACTTCTCTCAGTGCTGCAGGACATTTCAGTATCCAAATTTTTACATTGATTCGGCAAAGAAATAGGCCATTCGACGTAACTAGCCGTGACACTGTTTGTCCTCCACGTAAGCCTCCACTCTTCTCCTCTCTTATACCCCTCTATTCTATCTATTCCCTTCTAAACTATCCTTTCTACCCCCATATCTGTGCCATGACCCGCTCTGCCTTCCCCCACCTCCGCAACATCGCCCGGCTCCGCCGCTGTCTCAAACCGCAGGCCGCCGAAACCCTCATACACGCCTTCATTACATCGAGGCTCGATTATGCAAACTCCTCGCTTGTAGGCCTCCGCAACTCCTCCCTCCATAGGCTGCAGATCATCCAGAACTTCTGCAGCCTGTGTCCACTCCTGCACTAGGCTCGGTGACCCTATCACCCCCAACCTCTCCTGAATCCACTGACTTCCCATCACTCAAAGGATACTGTTCAAGATCCTGGTCCTCACCTTCAAAGCCCTCCATGGACTTGTTCCCCCCCTACCTCTGCAATCTCCTAACCTCCTGCCGTCCTGCTCGTTCCCTCCACTCAGCAGGCGAGGTCCCCTGCCTTGCTCGCCCCACTATTTGCGGTGGGGGGGGGCTTTTGCCTCTTGGCCCCCACCCTCTGGAACACCATCCCCCAGTCCCTCCGCCTCATCCCCTCCCTCCTGTAGCTCAAGCGAGAGACCTGAGTTCAATTCCAGGCAGGGCGAAACCTTGGGCAAGTTTCCTTACTCCACACGCCTAATAATAATCCCTCCAAAACCAAAACCAATAATAAATTGGTCATTTTCAATCTACGACTGTTGCTGTGCGCAATTGGCTGAAGCGTTCGCCCACAAATATACAGTCAATTCACTTTACAGTATATTCTGTGAAGCGCTTTGGGATATCTAGAAGACGTGAAAAGCGCTATATCAAATGAAAGGTTTATTATTCTTATTATTATTGCCTCCTTCAAGACCCATCTCAAGATCCTCCTCTTCGACCGTGCCTTCGATCATTCCGATTTCCCCACTGCCCTCCACCCTCCCCGATCCCGACCCCCAGTTCAGGTCCAAAACTTTGTCCTGCTCCTGGGACATCCTCCCAATTGTTTCGCTTTTCCACATGTATGCGCCAAGTTTCCTTCTTAAACATTTTAATAGTTTTTCCTTCAACCACAGCTTCTGGTAGTAAGGGTGAAATTACTCACAACAATGCCCCATAAACAGTCATGAATAAGTGACCAATTTTATTTGGGAGATTGTTGGCCAAGACACCAGGACAAACTTCCTTCTCTTTTCAGATAGTGCTGTGGGATCTTTTAACATCCACCTGAACAAGACAGGACCTCGGTTTTACATCTCATCTGAGGCACAGTACCTCCAACTCTGCAACATTCCCGCAGCACTGTATCAGAACCCACAACACTATTCAAAAAGAAAATGAAGTTTTTCCTAGTGGTGTCCAGGCCAACAATCCTCATGTAACATTGGTCATTCACTTCATGAGTGTCTGACACTGAAACATTTCAAAGCGCTTCACAGGAAAATTGTTGTCAAGTGTAGAGTGACTATTTCTCGGCTTCACTGTTCAAATGACAACTGAAGTGGTGAATAACTGATGGGATTGTGTGCTTATTATTAGACAATACAAACTTACATGTATATAATGCCTTTCACATCAGGAGAACGTCCCAAGATGCTTGATAGTTTGACACCTGAGCTGGGGGTGTGGACCGAGGGAGTTTGAGTGGGAGAAAATGACGAAAAGTGCAGTCAAAGCGACTTGAAACTGATCTTGATAGAGGGAGATAGTGACAGTGCTGGAGTGTCAGCTTAGACGAAATGAGTTCCAAGTCGTGATGTGGATTGAAGCCATAACCTTCTGACTCAGGGAGGACTATCAATGGAGCCAGGCTGACACACAGGCTGATATTGTAAGTTGGTCGTTCAATTCATAGTTGTTTGCGGGACATTGTTGTATTGCTGTACACTAATTGACTGCCACGTTTGCCCACATAAAAAACATTAATTCCACTTCACAGTAAATCCTGTGGAGGGTTTTAGAATGCCCTCCTAAAGTAAAAGGCACTGTGACAAATTTCATTAATTATTCATTTATTATTTATATATTTATTACAACATTGAAATATTCCAAGTGCATCACAGGGAGTTGTTGTCAAGTGTTTATTTGTAGACAAAGCACAACAGCCAACTTTTGTTGCGTGCAAATTAGCTTCCACAAACACAATGACTAATGCATTAAATACCGGCCAGAACAGCAGGAGAAATGTCCTTCTCCATTGAATTGCGGAAAATGGTGTCCTGACCCGTCACCGCAAGGATAACACCTCTAACTGCAGCTCTTCTCCTGAATGCTTACATGGGAGCATCAGACTGGATTGTGAGCAAAATGTCCAATGAAAGGCTTAAACCGAGAGCCTTTTTGACCCAGAGGCAAGAGCACTTCCAACCGAATCAAACTAACACAAATCAATGGGATGAAAAATGCACTGAATTATCACACTGGCACAAGGCATTTTTTACCCCAATGTGAAACTTACTGCTAAAGCTTTCGAGGCTAACAAGGCTAACTTTATTAGCAGTGAGTCTGAACCAGAACTTGTTTTCTTCCACACGCTGCCTTGTTCGCCCATTAATAAATGTCAGCTATTTAATGAAATTATTAATTATACTTCTATGAAATGAAAGCTGAAGAAGTAATAAAGATTCCACCCTCATCCATTCTTGTAAACTGGCAACTTTTAAAGGCCACTTTGTCTGCCACTGAATGTAATGTTCCCAAAATGTTCAATATAATTATTTATTATAAATAATTATTATTTAGATGCTGTTGAGAAATGCAAATCATGTTTATTAACCCTAGTACCATTGGGGTTAATAACAATTAATACAACAATGACAACAACTTACCATTGTACAGCACTCTTTACGTAGGATAGTGCCTCGGAGCATTGCGCAGTGTTGGACATCGAGCAAGGAAGGGGAGAGGAAGACGACCATAAAAGTACTCGAAGAGGTAGGTCTTAAAGTGAAATTTAATCCGGGAGGAAGGCCATTACAACAACAACAAGATTCCATTTATAGAGCGCCTTTCACGTCGGGAGGACATCCCAAGGCGCTGTCTAGTTGGGTCAGGACCCGAGCAGGGGAGAAATGGTCAGGGTGAGGGGAGGGAAGGGAGGGGGCGAGGAGGGGGTAGAGAGTCGAGAGGGGAGCTGAAGGCTCGGTCAAAGAGAAAGGTCTTGAGACCGGCCTTGAAGGAGGAAAGGGAGGAGGCGGCGAAGGCACTGGGGGATAGAGTTCCAAAGCCTAGGGGCTGAGAGGCTGAAGGCCCGGCCACCGATGGTAGGGCGGTTGGGGCGGGGGATGTGGAGCAGACCGGAGCCAGAGGAACGGAGGGTACGGGCAGGTAGGTAGGGGGATAGTAGGTCAGAGAGGTAGGAGGGAGCGAGGCCGTGAATGGCCTTGTAGGTGAGGATGAGGATCTTGAAATCGATCCTCTGGGGGATGGGGAGCCAGTGGAGGCGAGCGAGGGTGGGAGTGATGTGGTCGCGGTGTCTGGTGCGGGACAGTACATGAGATGCAGAGTTCTGAATGACCTGCAGTTTGTGGAGGGAGGTGCCGGGAAGGCCGGCGAGGAGAGAGTTCCCATAGTCCAGCCTTGAGCTGATAAAGGCGTGGACCAGAGTTTCAGCAGCGTGAGGGGTGAGGTAGTGCCATAGTCTGGCGATATTCCGGAGGTGATGGAAGGCGGTGCCAGTTGTGGTGCGGATATGAGGGAGAAAAGACAGCTCAGGGTCGAACAGAACCCCGAGGTTCCTGACTGGCTTTGAGAGGTGGAGAGTGCAGCCTTGGATGCTGATGCTGTCAGCACCTGAGGTGCGGAGGCGCTGACGCGAGCCAATCAGGAGGGCCTCAGTTTTGCGCACGTTGAGCTGAAGAAAGTTGTCTCTCGTCCAGGACTCGATGTCGGACAGGCAGCTGTCAGGACATCGGTGGTCGTGGAGTTGAGAGTAGAGGAGGAAAGGTAGAGTTGGGTGTCATCCACATACATGTGGAAGTTAACCCCATGTCTGCGGATGATGTCACCACAGGGGGAGCATATAGAGGGTGAAGAGGAGGGGACCAAGGACAGAACCCTGAGGGACACCGCACAAGATAGTGCGGGGGCCGGAGGAAAAACCATTCGTGGAAACATAGTGAAGACGGTGGGAGAGGTACGACCTAAACCAATCAAGGACAGTGCCTTGAAGGTTGAGGTGGGAGGACAAGCGGTGGAGGAGGATAGCATAGTCGACCGTATCGAATCCTGCCGATAGGTCGAGGAGGACGAGGAGGCAGAGGGAGCCCTGGTCACAGATGGTCAGGATGTCATTGGTGACCTTGACCAGGGCAGTTTCTGTGCTATGGGCAGCACGGAAACCCGACTGAAGGGGTTCGAATAGTGAATGGGTGGAGAGGAAAGAGCGCAGCTGGGAGGCGACAACTCGTTCCAGGACCTTGGACAGAAAGGTTGGCGATGGGCCGGTAGCTTGATAGCTGCGACGCATCAAGGGAGGGTTTTTTCAAGGTGGGAGTGATGGTGGCAGTTTTTAAGTTTTATTATGCAAATGACAAAGTTTTTTTTTGTACTTTATTGCTGCTTTCAACATTCTTAAATATAATCTTGCTATTGCATATCTCTTGTTACAAACAAACCCTTTCATTAGCTCTATTAGAGAAGGAGCTCAAAGGAATGACAAGGATAGAATGATAGATTTTTCAGCACAGAAGGAGGCTGTTCGGTCCATTGCCACAGATCAGTTTAGATGAAGAAGCCCATTTGATTTCATCCTTCCACCTCAACGTCAACCCATCACAGCATCAAGCAGTTTCTCAAATGAATCCGAGTGTCCTGGCCTCAGCCACCCTTCCTGGTAACCTGATTCTAATCATTAATTACCCTCTTATTAAATAAATAATCTCTGGTGTTCTCCCTGAAATGCAACCATTTTGTCCCACTCCCTTGCCCTTTCCCCTTTTAATATTTTTATCAAATGTTTATCTAATTCCCTTTTTAAAAGCTATCCCAGATTCTGCTTCAACCAACGTTTCTGGGAGGGGATTTGCTCGATTCAAATAAATCTCTCCATTTCTCTTTGTAAATAAACCTCTCTCTTTGTGTTTGTGTGCTGGCAACATCTGTCAATAAGGTTCAACTGTCACTATGATGTATGTTGTGAACCAGTATTATGATAAATAATAATAAATAATCCTTGCATTTGGTATAGTGTCGTATCCAACCCTACAATGTAGACTGACATTGTAAACACTTTGCTTCATGCAACCGGCAAAAGAAAAAAATTCAGTTGTGCATGTGTGTGAACTTACAAAGTAAGTCACAATCCTAGTAACCTTGTGACTTTGTAGGTGCACAAAACTGGCTTTCTATGTTCAGTTATCTATTATGTCCACTTCTATTCATTATCATGATAGAATCCCAATCCCAAGCCATGCTGACACCTAAAAGCCAATACAAACAGTGAGGGGATGCTTATCTTTTTATGATGGGCAGCCACTGTGAAGCTTAGATTGCTGGCAGGACTAGGAAAGGTAGAGCGAGTGCTATCCTCTGAGCCCATTGGGTCAACTCAGTTGGTAGTACTCTCACTTCTGAGTCAGAAGGTTGTAGATTCAGGCCCCACGATGGGTCTTGGAATTCATATAGTCTATGCTGTTAATCCAATGTATTGCTGGGGATTGTTGTATTGTCGCAGATGCTGTCCTTCAGATGAGACTCATAGCCTCATAGAAATTAAGCTTAGGTTCATCAAGGTGGATGTTAAAGATCTCAAGGCACTACTCGAAAAGAGAAGGGAGTTTATCCCAGTGTTCTGACTAACAATTCCCCAAATAAAATTGGTCATTCACTCCATGACTGTTTGTGGGACATTGCTCGATGCAAAATACTGTCACTACATTTTATAGTATATCCTAGGAAGCGCTTTGAGACACCCTACCAATGAGATAAGGCGCTACATCAAATGCAAAGATTATTATTATATAAATTCCTACTTTTTGGGCCATCAAAAAGGTACATTTCACCTCTCTTTGGAAGATCGAGCATAGAGAATGAATATTAAACAAAAACAGGTTACAGGTCATTGCAGAGGCAAGAATTTGCTGGGAAAAAAATGTTCACACCGAGATAATCAAGGTGACATCTCCATTGATCTCAATCTCAAAGATGAAAAAATCCACAAACCTGAAGGGGTGTACTGCCACCTAGTGTGAGTTGGTGTTGAGCACCAAACTATCACAATTTCTATTTTGAAAATTACAAATACTGCATTAACAATACTCACATTTGATAAAGCGACTTATCACGTCATAGAGACATCTCAAAGCGCTTCACAGGATATATTGCGAAGTGAAGTGACTCTATATTTGTAGCTGAACACGGCAGCCCAGTTGCGCACAGCACAAACAGCCATGAAAGGAACGAGCAATTCTTTTGTATCTGAGCGAATTATTGCCCACCACACCTAGAGAATCCCCACTCTCTTTTTGAATAGTGTTGACACCCAGAACCTCTGGAACACTCTTCCTCTATCCCTCCGCATTTCCCCTTCCTTCCCCATCTTTAGGTCACAACTGAAGACCTTCCTATTTGACCGTTTGGCATCGTGCTCCACCACTGTTCAAGCGCTCTAGTACGCTACCCTTCATGAGGGGCGCTATATAAATGCACGTTGTTGTGTTGTGGAATCTTTAACAACAACCACCTGAATAGGCAGATGGAACACACAACCTTCTGACTCAGAGGCAAGAGTGCTACCGACTGAGGCAAGCTGACGCAGATGAATGGCTAGATATAATTCTCTGAGATGAGGAGGAATTGTGACCAAGGCACCAGAACTGCCTGCTCTTTGAAATAGCATCATTAATGTCCACAAGAGTTTAAGGAGTTCAGCTCAGCATCTCATCTGAAACTTGTTTCATCTCATCACCTGTCCATTCCCTCCACTCTGCTCCATGTCCCCCGCACTGCCCACCCGATCATCGGTGGCCGGCTGTTCAGCCTTTCTGCCCCCACTCTTTGGAACTCTGTCCCACAGTCCCTTCACCTCGCCCCGTCCCTTGCCTCCTTCAAGGCCCATCTCAAGACCCTCCTCTTCGACCACCCTTTGGGTCACGCTCCTACCACTACCCTCCCTGCCCTCCACCCCTCCTGATCCCAACCCCCAGCTTGAGTCCAAATGCTTGCCTGTCCAGCACCTTGGGACATCCATCCCGTGAAAGGCGCTATAGAAATGTAATTTGTTGTTGTTGTTGAAAGGTAGCATCTCTGACAATGCAGCACTCCCTCAATACTGGGTCCCCACCAGTGCCAGTCTACATTCTGAACTTAAGTGTTGCTTGAACAAGAGGCTTGAACACACAACCCTCTGACCAAGAGCCAAGAGTGACATCAGCAGACCCAATCTATCTCTCAGTCTAATTAGAATTGTTCCTTTACATTTTACTTTTAACAGCTTTGTTGTTTTCAATTCCACAAAGAACCCGTCACCCGAATTTGAACCCCAAACACTGATCTCCGGGCTTTTCAGCAAGCAGTGTCACACAGAGAGCTGCCTTATCTCTTACCGTTAGAGGAAGCTCTTCCTTTTCTTCCATTCCTTGCATCTCTCCTGCTTTAAGTCACCATCCAGAATAAGGTAATTTGGGCAGGATTATCAGAAGAATATATGTGATGTGTAGAATATTTATAGAAGAGCGGACAATGGCGACGAGAGAGAAAGTTCTGTGTGGGTTGTTTTTTGTTTCAGTGTTTGCCTTTACTGCGGGCAGTGTGATGATGACAGAACAGTATCAGAAAGGGAGCTCGTCCCTCACCCAATGCACGCTTGTATCTAAAGGCAGAACAATAGGATTGACACGCGCACTTCTCTAACTGACTCAGCATTGGAAGGGGCACCAGAGTTCTGCACTGTTCCACAGGCTCATGTATAGTGGGTTCGCACCTTTGCTTTATTGTGGAGGAACGGTGTGAGCTGAAGGGAAACCTGCCTTTTCCTTTTGTGGAGTCCCGTAGTGCAGTGGTTAACACCCTCGCCTCGCAAGCGAGAGGGCACAGATTTGATTCCCGAGCAGGGCGATTGGAGCATCCCTTTCCGGAGGTAATCCTACAAAAAAAATTTGATCACTCAATCCAGGAATGTTTGTGAGACATTGCTGTGCCCACAAAATGCACAGTTGATCCAATTTACAGTATATTCTATGAAGCACTTTGAGATGTATCAACGACCTAATAAAGGCAAGTATTATTATTATTATTTCTGAAACGTACAGCGACAAGTAAATCAAAGGGAGTTTCCCATCGTAAAAGCATAATATTCCTTGCATTCAATATAGAACCTTTTGTGTTGGGAGGACATCTCAAAGTGCTTCACAGGATTTACTGTAGAGTGACTGGATTTTTTGTGGACGAATGCAGCAGCCAATTTGTGCACAGCAATATCCCACAAAGAGAGGAACATTGCTGTGCTCACAAAATGCAGTCACTCCACTTTACAGTAAATCCTGTGAAGTGCTTTCAGGCGTCTCGACAATGTGAAAGATGCTATATCAAATGCAAAGATTATTATTATTTTATTATCAATAATAACAAAGAGTGATAAGGCAGATATCAGTGGCTCAATTGCCTCCCTATAGAATCATAGAAATTTACAGCACAGAAGAAGATAATTCAGCGCATCGTGTCCTTACTGACTCCCTCAAGAGCAATCCTTTCAGTTCCATTTGCCTACGTTTTCCCCATACACCTGTAGCTAACAGTTTTTAAGGCTTTTTAAGGTCCTGTGCCTAAAATATCTATTTTTCTGAACTTTCGTCATGAATTGGACTGAGACAGATAATATTCAGGGATTCGAAATTAAAAAAATTCGCACAATTGCGGTGGGAACCGTCTTTACTGTAGAATAGAATAGAACAGAGGGAGGTGTGACATGACCTCAGATCTGGCTGAACTGCACGGGTTGCTGTTTTTCAGCTGTATTTACCTGATATGCCCAGCAGGTGATGGTGTTCTACAAATCACCACAGGGGCTATTGGAGAAGTCAGTGCTGAAGCTTTGAGTGTAACACGGCACAAAGTAATTTTGGAATAAAGTAGTTTCCAATTAGATGCAATGCGGCTGTGAGTTATTATGCCCTCGAGTCTGTTCTCATGCGGTGTGGTGTCAACGAGTTCATGCTATAGGGTAGCTAGATCGTTTGGCAGATTTATAGGAACATAGGAACAGGGCGAGGCCATTCAGTCCCTCAAGCCTGTCTCGCCATTCTATTAGATCAACAACCAACAACAAGATTACATTTGTATAGCGCCTTTAACGTCGCGAGGATGTCCCAAGGCCCTGATCATGGCTGATCTGTACCTCAACTCCATTTACTCACCTTTGCTCCATATTCCTTGATATCCTGAATTTACATGTAAATAAATTGTGTTTATAAACGTAAACACGTTGAATGAGTGTGAGAGGAGAGAACGAGTGATTGATGGTCTTATGTGAGAGAAGAGAGTGAGTGAGTGAGTGAGTGAATGAGTGTGAGAGGCGTTAGTGAGAGGAGTGAGTGTGAGAAAGAGTGAATGTGAAAGGAGAGAGTGAGTGAGGGAGGGAGGGAGGGAGAGGGAGGGAGTGTGTGCGTGTATGCGAGAGGAGAGAGTGAGCGAGCAAGTGAGGAGACAATACATAAGAACATAAGAAATACTAGACGAAAAAAGACCAAGGTCCAACTGGTTCTCCTTCCACCTTCCTGGTGGTCACATGCACATATGTCCCAAACTCCCTATGTACTTTATCCCATAATGTTATTTCCTAAAAGAAAACTATTTAATCTGTGGTTGAAAGAATCAACACTTCTTGCTTCAACCGTCTCCCTCGGGAGCCTGTTCCACATGTGACCATCCGCAGGCATGGGATTCACTTCTATGTGACACGCACCACAGCTGTTCTGATAGACTGCCTGTCAGACGTCAAGCTCTGGATACATCTAATTTCTCCAACTTTAGCAAAACTGAAGCTATTCTGCTCTCTCCCATCAGCACCTTCTTACCTCTGGCACCGACGCTCTCAACTGCTCACTCCGGCTCACCGAGTCAGTGCAAAATCTCAGCGTTCTCACCTCTCCTTTAAAATTGTCATTATAACCGCTTTTAAAAATTGTGGTCCCTCAATCCACGACTGTTTGTGGGACATTGCTGTGCATAATTGACTGTACGTTTCTGCCCACAAAATATTCAGTCAATTCATTTGACAGTATAATCTGTGAAGCACTTTGCGACATCTCAATGACATGATAAGATGCTACATCAAATGCAAGGATTATTATTATTATTGTCTGATCCTTGGTCAAGTTTGCTTTCCTCATCTCTGCAAAATTGAAGTGCTTGAGACGTGAATGACACTACATCAAATGTAAGGATATTATTTCAGGAGAATGTCTCAAAGCACTTCATAGGATATACAATAAAGTGCAGTGACTGTGTATTTTGCAGACAAACACACCAGTCATTTTGCACACAGCGCAGTCCCACAAACAGTCATGAAGTGAATGACAAATTTTATCTGGAGGAATTGTTGGCCAGGACACCAGGAGAAACTCCCTTTCCTTTTCGAACAGTGCCAAGAGATTTTTAACATCCATCATGTCTCTAGTCTCTTGTCTAAGCTCCCCGCTGACTGACCTTGGGACACTCTGCCTCACCTCAACCATGGTGACTGGGACACTGCTGTGCACAATTGGCTGCTGCGTTTCATCCACAAAATATACAGTCAATTCACTTTCCAGTATATTCTGTGAAGCGCTTTGAGACGTCTCATTGACACAATAAGGCGCAAATGCAAGGATTACTGTTATTATTAATATTATCAGTTGGGAGTGATAGGAGAGAAATGACTGACATCTGTTAGCAGTGGAGGGATATAGGGATCAGTGTGTGTGAGTGTTTGGCAGGGGCTGGCGGGGGAATCCAGAAGGCAACGGCTTATTAAGCAGATTAATGCTGGTAGCTGTGATTGTTGATTTGACGCTGCGAATTGGTCTTTTCTGAATTGAGCACATTGTGTGTGAGGTGTAAAGGAGTTTAACAGCTGATGGTAGTGGCAGCTCTCCGTGTGGGCAATGCTCCCTGGTGGGTTATTGTTCCCTCGGCGCTGTGTTTACTCACAGCTTCGTACTGTGACAGTGCAGGTCTTCAGCATGTCAACGGCTAAAACTCTCCCCAAATAACAGCAGGTCAACGAGGAGACCCCAGCTTGGCAGAAAGCCAACAAACAATGACTTTCATTTATATACCACCCTTCACATCCCGACCTCTCCAAACCACCATTGGTTGCCATGCTTTCAGGCACTATAAATCTGACTCATTGCCTCAATCCCTCCACCTCATCCCCACTTTGTCTATTTTTAAATCCCACTTTAAGGCCGACTTCTTCAACTGTGCCATGGGTCACCTCCCCTTCCCTTCTCTCTCTTGCCTGGTGTCAAAACCCACCACTGTCCTACATTCCGATACATATTCTGCATGAAGGTTGTTGTATAAATGCGAGTTGTTCTTGTTGTCCAAATAAGATAACATGTCCAATAATAGGGTTGGACACTGAGCCAGAGAGAAGGGAGAAGTGATCTAAGTTCTCCTTTCGCTGTTTTTCTGACTATCTTTATAAGCTTCACAGAATATATTGTAAAGTGGATTGACTGTGTAGTTTGTGGGCGAAATATAGCAGCCAATTACGCGCAGTAGTGTACCATAATCGTGGACTGAGTGAGCACATTTTTTGGGGGAAGGATATTATCCCTGAAAAACGATCTGCCAATCAACTAACAACCAGGTTCCTACTTACTGCTTGAAAACAGAGGCGTGTCGAGTAAGGAAACTTACCTAAGGTTTCTCCCCACCCGGAATCAAGCCCGGGTCCTATCGCTTGCGAGGCGAGCACGCTAACCACTACACTACAGGAATCCACAATGTGCTCAAGAAGCCGCACGTTTGATATCACAGGGCAGAAAAGCCTATTAAAATGAATGGGTTTTACAGGCCAGCCTTTCAATACAACGCTCTAATGATTGGCTCGTCTCATTTATACCTGACTTTCATCCCACTTACTCGCATGTTTCAGTTCTGCATTTCTGATAAAGTGGATTCATTGTAAATCAGATTGCGTGTAGCTGGATTCAGCAGACTAGCTTTGTCTCTTGCTCAGACGGCACATTCTGCTTTCTATTAATTAACAATCTTCGGCTCTTTAAAGTATCCCAAAGATTCCCATTTTCTGCACGATATGACAGTAATTGACCCAGCTGCGAAATGCTGAAATAACCCAGACATTATCTCCCACAACATTGAGCCGAAACAAAGCCAACCCAATTAATGAAGGATTTTTTCTTCATGTGCCAAATTGGTGTGACGACACGATAATGACATGTAATGATAATAATTTTTACATTTGGCACAGCTATTTTCCCTTTTCACATCGGAAGGACGTCCCAAAACATTGGACAGTCAAGGATTTGTAACCCCCTTGAGTGTCCAACTGGGACGTCCTCCTGATGTAAAAGATACTATATACATGTCATTTGTTGTTTCTAATCAGGAGGACGTCTCAAAGTGCTTCACAGGACAT